CTGCGTTCTCTCCAATTGAAGCATTTTAGTTTTTGGAGCACCGCCCCAGGAGGTAATACCATATGTTAACAGAGATTGGGCCAAGGCGAAGTAGACGGATTTCTTTAGTTTATCTCAGAGCTGGAGGGAACGAACTGGTCCCCAGTAATGAACTGTGGCTCTCTTAACGAGTCTGTGAGTCATTTCACTAAGACGGTATCAGAGACAATATTGAGGTACTCGAAAACTTGTGTAATAAGCCGCTCTAGAACCATCTTACACCATTGGATGACTCCTGGTCTAATCAGATGCTCTAAGCACCGTGACAAGCTTTATATTGAATATCGTAAGGACCCAAACAACCTTACTAAAAAACTTGTATATACGCGTTATAGAAATTTTTACATAGATCTAATCATAAAACTAAAATGTGATTACAACAATAAAGAAATAAATAAAAATAAATGTGCTCCAAAAAAACTCTGGGGTACTATTAACCGCATAACTGGCAAAGACACTAGTTCAAGTTCTCTTCTGGCTCTCATCAACTCCAGACCCTCTGTAAAGGAATCTCTTGATGTTTGCAACTCTTACTTTGCCTCTGTAGGTAATAAGCTAGCATACTCTATCATGAAGAAATTAAATGAGAATCAGGAGTCCCTTGCCGGAAAAGTTCACATTCCTGTTCAACCCGTTGGTTCATTTTTCATGGATCCTACAGACGAACAGGAAGTTTTGAGTCTCATCCGGTCTCTTGATTCTGGCAGTGCCCCGGGTATGGACGGCATCACTAACAAACTTTTAAAATCAGTAGTCCACGCAATTGCGGAGCCCTTGGCTGCGATATTTAACTTAAGTATCTCGTCAGGAGTCTTTCCAAGCCAGTGGAAAGTAGCGGCAGTTATCCCCATACACAAGAATGGAGCTAAGGACGACCCTTGTAATTATCGTCCCATATCACTGTTGGGTAGTTACTCTAAGCTCCTGGAACGCATTGTTCATAAGCATCTGACTAACTATCTTGAAAAGAATAGTATACTCTCGGACCGTCAGTTTGGTTTCCGTCAGGGAAAATCGACTGAGGATGCAGTTAGTCTTATCACAGATATGGTTGTAACTCATCTCGATCAGGGTCGATCCTGTGTCGGTGTTTTCCTCGATCTGGCTAAAGCATTCGACACAGTATCGATTCCCATCCTGCTTAAGAAACTAAGTGCTCTTGGTATTCGTGGTCTAGCTTTAAACTGGTTTTCCAGCTATTTGTCGGATAGAAAGTAATGTGTCCGAATAGGCGATCAAGCAAGCGATCTTAGATCTGTAGATTTTGGCGTTCCTCAGGGTAGCATTTTGGGGCCGACACTTTTTATTTCATACATTAATGACATTATGTCAATTGAACTCGAAAATAGTGAAGTTGTATGTTATGCTGACGATACAGCCATAATATTTTATGGTAAGTCTTGGCACGACGCCTACCTTTCGGCTGTCTCCGGGTTGCATAAATTTCAAACATGGTTAAATTACAACATCTTAACATTGAACACCTCAAAAACGCAGTTAATTTGTTTTCATAAAACTGCAGCGTCTGAACCGCCGCCGTCACTTTTCAATAGCCTTAAAGTACATAATAACAACTGTAGTTTTGGCTCCGTGAGCTCTCCTAATTGTAACTGTGACCAGATAAATAGGGTCGGCTCCCTTAAATATTTGGGCATCATAATAGATGAGAACCTTAACTTCAAAAGTCATATATCAGTGACATCAGCAAGGATCCGTAAGCTGATACACACAATGAGACTATTGAGAGATTCTACTGATGGCAGCATTTTAAAGTCAGTCTACAGCACTATGTCAGTCCGTACTTAGCTATTGCATACTGGCGTGGGGTGGCATAGCCTCCTCTACGTTGCTAGTGCTGGAAAGGGCCCAGAGGGCAGTTTTGAAGATAGCTATGGGTAAACCAAGGCGTTGTCATACGTCAGATCTCTTTAGAGAAGCCCAAGTTTTAAGTGTCCGTAGATTGTATCTTCTGAGGGTGTTTACATTTATGCACAGGGAAGCTTCGAAACTGCCGACATTTGATACTTTAATAAATAAAAGAGTATTTAAGATCCCCACAACCTTGGTTAAAACATCTTTCGCTCATCATTTCAGACTGTTCCTATTCCCACGCATCTATAACAAATTAGTCAATTTATACGGCTTAAAGCGATCCCAACATTACGAGGCTAAAACAAAAATGATGAACTATTTATTGACTTGGGACTATGAGGAAACAGAAGAAATATTGGTGACTCTTAAATAGGTGTTAAAACGGTAGTGGACAGCAATGTCGCCAGCCCTGCCATCTGATCCCAATATCCACACACACACACACACACACACACTCATACACACACTCACACTCATACACACACTCACACTCATACACACTCACCCTCAATTACACGCGCGCTCCTTTAAATTAGAATATGCTTGTTATGTCTTTAATTTTTCATAATTTTAAGTCGTATTTTTTTTTCCTTTGCTACGCACAATTGTTTTACGTAATTTCGACAAATAGCCACTTTGTTCTATTGTAAAATCTTTTGTTTGACCCCCACGAGACAGGCCATGCCTAGTGTGGGAGTCACAGAACTTTTTTGTATTTTGGCTAAGTGTTTCTGGTAAATAAATAAATTTATTATTATTATTATTATATTACATCTCTCAGAGTTTTAAAAACATATATAAGTTTACGCAACCTGTTAGTAAGGGTATTAATGTGTTCATGAAAACGTAGAGTGCTATCAATTATTACTCCTAGATATTTTACTTTTTCAGCTTGACATAGTTTGATGCAGGTATCCGCGTTATTAAGTGAGTTGGAACATGAGTGACTTACGATAGAGTATGGTGGTGATAATGTTGTTAATGTGTTATTTTTTAATCTAAATGCAACATAACATGTTTTATCTATGTTGAGTGTCAGCACATTACTTCGGAGCCAGTTAGAGACTGTGTTGTAGCCCAGCTGGGCGTACGTATAGACATCTTGCCATGAACCTGCGTTAAATAGGAGGACGGTATCATCTGCATAACTTATTATCTGCCCTTTAGGAAGAGTGAGCATACTCATTTCATTAATATATATTAGAAATAAGGTTGGAGTGAGTACACTGCCCTGAGGCGTACCATAGGTAATTGTGCGTTCAGTACTGATGAATTTATCCACCTGAACGCACTGAGTACGTCCACTCAAGTAGTCTTCAAAAAGTTGCAGTTGTATACCTCTAATTCCCAAACTCTCCATCTTACGTAAAAGTATGGGTACAGAAACCGTGTCGAAAGCTTTGGCGAGATCTAGAAATATGCCAAGAACCTTCTGCCCATTGTCCAAGTTTGTAACAATATAATTAATAAGGTCATGAATCGCATCCGAAGTAGATTTACCTGATCTAAAACCATATTGTGAGGGCGAAAGAAAGTTATGTTTTTCCAAGTAGTTTACGAGCCTGTTGTTTATTATGCGTTCGAGTATTTTGGACAAAGCAGGCAGCACAGCTATAGGTCTATAATTATTGACATGGTCTCTGCCCCCACCCTTATAAATCGGGTTTATGATCGATTTTTTAAAAGCTTTAGGAAATTTTCCGGTTGTGAGAGCCAGATTGCAGATATATGTCAGGGGTGGGACAACTACATTAATATGCCTTTTAAGGAGATTAGAGGGTATTCCATCCCAACCCACAGCACAGTCATTACGGAGAGATAATTTTAATCTTGCAACCTCGTCCTCATCTGTTGGTAACAATACCATGGAGTGTATAATTATAATTAGTATATAATTATAACCGTAACCACAAGCACAGCCACTCAACGCACGCGCGCCTCACCCCCGTATATGGTCGTTAAGGACATTACGCCAATAAACTATGCCTGCTTTTATTACATACGGTTGTATACGCGAAAAAAGTCTTTGTTTTTTTTTAAGATATTTACTTTTTTGTAAAAGGGGTGGATAGAAAATGAACAGTTAATTTAAAATCTCTTAAACATAAAAATCGCTTTTTTGTGGGTTACCATAGTGTATGTAGGAGCTATCGATATATATATATATATATATATATATATATATATATATATATATATATATATATATATATATATATATATATATACATATATATTTTTTTTAAACGGGGGGGGAATAGTGTAAGGGCTTACGTTGCAATATTGTAACACGGTGTAATGGTTCGACGCCGGGCTGGCAGTTAGCCTCTCGCCTCGGTCCGAATAGGTAGTTGTTACCGAGTGGAAATAAATGTAGTAATATACAAATGGACTTTGGATTATTTAGCACCTACACCTATAGGCGACGATAAGGGCTAACTCACAAAGTAAACATAAGAAATCACAAATATACTTATTTGTATTGAAAATATATTTAATGTTTAAATTAATGAATAATTTACATAAGGCTAAAAGAAAATAAAAAAGAGTTGTGTTTCGTGATTTTTTTTCTTATTCTTCTTATTTTTCGGCTACTCTAAAAAGAAAGCTCGGTTAGCTTTTGAACTTGGTATCTTGTCTTCGCCTGCAGTTGCGATTCAAAACGTAGTAATTATATACTCTTTGTTGCAATTTAATTACTAAGATAAATTAATGGTTTGATATAAATAATATCATGTGTTTTACAGTAATTTACATCATAGTTATTTTTAGCTGTACTATTACCAATGTTTGATTGGAAATAACATGGTACCTAGTAGTTTTTCTTTACACAGACACTAAAAATCGATTTTATTGCGATGTTGTTTTCAATATTTAATGACAACACTGTGTATCTGTGTCCTAATTTTTGTGACATGCCGTCCGTCAAGCGTCAAGTCAAGCACTGCGACAAGTCAAAATTCTCGTAAAGCTTCTCCTTTGTAGTGTTTTACAAATTCAAGAAGTTTTGAATGAGAGCCAATCGATTGTACCTAATAATGGGTGCCATACGTAAATTAAGAATACTAATTTAATATCCGAAATCACAAATGGCTACGGAGACGCTTTTAAAAACGAACAAGTATTCAAAGTATATATCATATAGGAAAATTTTGTATCATAGGTTTTTTGTTGGCCTACTATTGTTTATAGTGGTGTCTCTCGTGTTTACTGTGCTTTTTAATGTTTATGCGGGAAATTCACCACGGACCGAAATATACAAAGCAGTGAATTTGGATTTAGTGAGCTTAGAAGTGAGAAAAATAAAAATTAATTCCCCCTATTCCGAGCCCCGCAATACGAATTGCACGTATTGGAGTTGTTTTAACGTATACAAATGTGGTAGAGGCGGCCACGACAAAATAACTATATACATATATCCTCTAAAAGAGTACAGAACTGATGATGATAGACTTATTTCACAGTTATCTAGAGAGTTTTATGAAATTCTAGATACAATAAGACATAGTAAATATTATACCGCGAACCCTGAGGAGGCTTGCTTGTTGGTGCCCAGTATTGACACATTGAACCAGAATACTTTTTCAAGTGAACATGTTTCTCAAGCGTTGTACTCCCTTGAACAGTGAGTATTAATATTTCCATTATTATTCTTTCATTTCATAGAAATTCTGCATTCTCTTGCTCACAGGAAAAGTTTCTTGGCAGACCTTTCTTAGGAAATAATCCAGGAGTTAGACATGTATAGGCCTCTCTAAATTGAGGGTCTGTGTCATTGATTCAATAGATATTTAAGTAGCTATGCCTATGTTATAATTAAGTATTTTTCCTTTTATAATTATAAAGATCATGGTTTTCTATTACTTCTATTTATTTTTACCTGATGTGAGGAAACCTGCATGTCTAAGAAATAAAAAAAATAATATTATTTCGAAGACATGTGAAGTTCGCCAACATGCAATAGGGCAGCGCGGCGGACACTTCCTTGCTCTAAAATCCTCTCAGAAATGAGGGCAGGCCTGTGTGCCTGGAAGTGGGACGTAAATAAGCTGTAATTTTTAACTATTAACTTAAGGGATTTGAACCTGGAACCACATGATCAGCAGACATGCTTGCAATCACTGGACCAATGAGTTAGTCAAATTTTGAATTCTTTATTCAAATTCAAAAATGTGTATGTAATGTATTTAGATTATCAACTCGTAACTTTTATTTAAGCTGGAACAATGGAGAAAATCACCTCATATTTAACATGTTGCCTGGCACTGCACCGAATTATGAAACAGTTGTCAAACTTAACACCAGTAAAGCTATTATAGCAGGATCTGGTTTCGACACATGGACTTTTCGATATGGATTTGACATTTCATTACCATTATACAGTCATATTGCTACAGGAATTGATAACACACAACCAAAACAGAAGAACTACCTTATTATATCAACACAACAAAATATTCCAGATGATTATCTAGCTGAATTGCAGAACATTGCATCTTCATCAAATGATTTATTATTACTTGGTAAATGTAAGGCAGAATCCAATAGGATGGATCATACCAAACGCTGTGAATACACTACAGGAAGAGTGTTCAATTATCCAGATATATTAAAAGAGGGTTTGTTCTGTTTGGTTGTTCGTAGTGCAAGACTGACTCAGTCCGTTTTAATGGACATTTTGGCATCACAATGTATTCCTATTATTGTAGCAGATACTATAGTCTTGCCTTTTAATTCTCACGTGGATTGGCACCGTATTTCATTATATATACCAGAAGAAAATATAAAAAATTTGTTAAGGATAGTTCATTCTGTTAGTAAAGAGAGGCGGGGAGAACTTTATTGGCAGTTGAGATGGGTTTACGAGAGATATTTTGCCAGTATTAAGCAAATCACATTAACAACATTGGAGATTATAAATGAGAAGGTTTTTCCTTTAGCAGCAAGAATGTATGAGGAATGGAATATGCCTGAACATTTGGTAAGATTTTTATATTGACAATTATTATGATTCTTTCATTCTATAACTCTTCATTTGTTTTAAGTTATTTAAACATTTGTGATATTTTGAAATTTTTTGTTGCACTTATACAAAATATTTAAGTGGGTTCTACATTTTATTTATAGTTTGTCCAGTGAACCAAATTAAAATGCAAATATTTATTGCAATTAGGAGATGACATAAGGAAATTCATCAGCCTATTTCCATTGTTCATCACTACCTTTGTATAACAAATGTCAGGAAGATCTTGTGGCCTACAATAGCTGGCCATATATTCATTTGATGTTTATAAAAAAAATTAAACATTTTGATAGAAAGGCCCTGCACATTTTGCTGTGATCACCTCATTCCCAGGGGTTATCATCAATCATGTACTTTTAAGTAATGATTTCTTATATTTACACGAAGACTACACATTAAATGAAACTAATTTTTATGGATTCTATCGCATTTAACTTTTTAATTTCCGACATTTCGGAAATTAAAAATTCGGGTGCTGTAAAGTCACGTCATCATTGTCTCCATTTTACGTCATCATTTTACGTCACGCATCACGTCACAGGGGGACTGAGGTGTTTGACGTTCCAATATCATAGTTAGCCTGGCTACCATCAGTTTTTGAATATTAATTTTTGGTCCAATCTATGCAGAATGAGCTTACAGTATCTTGAAGTCAAGAATTGGTATGCTTGAGTTTAGATTTAATTTTATTAATTATAGGATCACAAGCAGATATCAGCACCCATCCATCTCCTCTATTGAAATTAGGATGTTTTTTGATTTCAATAGCCTCACAAATCATCCTTGGTAGGCATCGATGTTATTTTACGAGGGTTTGTGGTCTATCAAATCTAATGTAATGGCGGGGAAGATCTTGAACATCTTCACAAACTGCAGACTTCCCAGAATGTTAGTGCATCGAGTCGGCTATGTGTTCTTTTATGCGGATTTTTATAGATCTTTTTGTTTGTCATATGTAAGAGAGACCACATTCACAATCCAGGTTGTGCACACATGCATCTTATAGAGGGATATAACACTAATTAATATATAGTAATTTGTGTTTAGTAAAAAATTTTAAGTTTTTAACAGATAATCTTGTATATTGTCTGGGACTTTGTTTTAGAAACATTGGCCCGTGAAGAAATTACTGACTCTGAAGTTGAGTACCTGGTATAACTAGTTTGTGTTTATTCCTTTACAGTGTCTGAACGTCTGTCATCACTATTTTTAATAAAGCCTTTTTGTTTGTGTATAAACATCAAATTTTCATAAATATACTTAGAGGCAATAGTAATATATTTATTAAAATTAAGTTGGAGAATATCACCAGTAGATTTTAACCAGTCCATAGTTATTAAATTATAAATTTTCTTGCAGTATGGTCCTGTGAATCCATTATTTCTTCCTGTAACTGCACCAAAATCGCCTGGCTTCACAGCAGTCATATTAACTTATGACAGGGTGGAAAGCCTATTTATATTAATTAGGAAGCTGGTGAAAACTCCCAGTCTTGCTAAGATACTTGTTGTGTGGAATAACCAGAAGAAAGCACCGCCGCCATGTGAGTTGACTTTTATATCTATAGTAATAAGTTGAATTTAAGGTTAAGTCAGTTTAGTTAAGTTAGTTTCTTGAAGTTGGTATTACTTTTCTCTAAATTAAATTTAATTTTTAATATAATATTCGACCCTTTTGAGTGAACTTATCAACCTCTAAGTAATCAAACTCACTCCGACTGAATTGGCACTTACTCGGAATTCCAGTGCTAACTTAATTCATTTCTACCGACTTCAAAAAGGAGCCGGTACTCAATTCGACTTTATGTTTTTTTATGTGTGTTACCTCATAACTCTTTTCTGGGTGAACCAATTTCGATGATTCTTTTTTTATTTGAAAGCTGGTGCTTCACATATAAATTTCCCCATATAAATTTGATCAAGGTCTGACCAATAGTTTTATAGTTATTCTTAATAATTTATATTGAAGTTGGTTCTACAAAATTTCTAATTTTAAATTATTAGAAACTCATATTATACATAATATTTTTGATATTCATCTTTTGATACTTTTCAGTATCTACGTAAAATTGTTTTGAGATACTGAATTTATTATTTATGTACGCACTTCGTCAACGTGATTTGAAGTTTATTACAGACAAGTATGTAACATAATTTCGTATTTGCCGAAAATATTGGCTGTCGTAAAAGAAAAGACAAGTGCGTGGCATATTTACTGTGTCAGCTACTAGCGGCGCCGGCGCCCGCCTGATCCACAGCTAGGGTTCCCAACTCTCCCGGATTGCCCGGGAGACTCCAGTAATAATGGTTAATCTTCTGACTTCCCGGGGTGCAATAATTTCACCGGTTTCTCTAAAAATTATGCGCATCGGTCGCTCTCGCTTTGCGGTCACACACAATACTGCACACCGCTGCCGGTGTAAATCTGTTCGTCTTGCCAGACCGCCAGACTGTACTTCTCCAACTTCACAAATATTAGATGCTGCTCGAAAGCAAAGTAAATATAAATTTAAAAATTAATAAATGATTGAGATTTTCTATCAATAACTCGATTTCATAAAATTCACCCGTGGTGGTCCTTTCAAGAGTTGGTAACACTATCCACAGCTGTGATACAGTTTTTGTTCTGAATTGCCTAGACTGGCAATAAACGTAGGTTACATAGAAGACATTGCTTACTGGATCTTTCCATCGGTTGACGGTTCTTGGAGCTATATGGTGTGGGACTTGGGTTAGCGTGGTTCTACTAGATATCTTTCTAATTGTTATTAGATCGATGTTAAATACTAGTCGGGCTCTGCGGACTTATTCTATTGCCTACTAAGTTACGGTCGATTCTCTGTGACTCTTTTAGTCGACTGCGAGAGGGCGAGAATATCAGTTCTTTGTTTTGTAAACCGCGAACGTTTTTTTCGACAACCTAACACTGATTTTTTTTAACGTGACTGAGAAAACGCTTTCATTATTTATGTGTTTTAAAGTTTATTCCAGATAAGTATGTAACTTAACTTATTTGTCTAAAAATAGTAAGTGTCGTAAATGAAAATAGAACTGCGTGGCATATGGCCAGCTACCTGCCCAGCCGGCGCCCGCGATAATGACACAGTTTTTGTTCTGTATTGCTGATGTGATTAGTATACGCAGAAGTCTTTGATCATCACCAACATACCTCACCGACACAAATATAGCTTTTTCATCTATACCTAATAAAGCTTTTTCATTAAACGACACGGTACCGATATCGTAAGAGCGTAAATTAGATTGGAATGTTGTATTTATTAAATACTAGCTGTGCCCCGCGGTTTCACCCGCGTCATCACGTGTCCGAGGTGCGTGACATGACCTAGTTCAAGCATTTTATAACGGCTAGGGTTTAAGCGTCGTTCGCGCGCCCAGCCAAGTATTGAATTATTTCAATTTTACATTATCTCTTAAACTATGCGCCCAAATAACATGGTATAAAGAACAAAGTTTATCTTCATAAAATTGTCTTGATGATGAAGTAACTTTCGTTCGTAAGGATAAATAGGCCATGCCTAATAATAACGCTCATGAATCACTTTTAAATTTTCTATATTTTTTGTCACAAAATACCAAATTATGGCTTATGTGTAAGAAATAGACATATGGTATCGCGGACTTTTTTTAGACGGAGTAAAAGTCTATATTTTTATAGAACATTGTATTTACGTATCCCCAACGATAACACCAGCGTACGCGGATAAATCATTTCGGGACTGCTTTTTCTTCTGACTTGCTTAACAAATATCCATATTTAAGGTTAGCTGAGTAATATAGCTTAATGCTAGATAGCCTATACTATTCCACATGAATCAGGCTATAATATACAAAAAGAATTTTTAAATCGGACTGGTAGTTCCAGAGATTAGCGCGTTTAAACAAACAAAAAAACAAAAAAGCTCTTCCGCTTTATTATATTAGTAATAGAAGATGGCAGACATTATCTACTAGCTGTTCTCCGCGACTTCGCCCGCGTGTAATTTAGGGTTTTAATTATATTGCTCAGAACCCTAATTCTTTTTCTCAAATATATGTAGCCTAACTTACTTCTTAGAACATCAGCTATCTGCCAGTGAAAGTCTCGTCGAAATCAGTCGAGCTGTTTCGGAGATTAGCCGGAACAAATAGACAGACAGACAGACAAAAATTTTAACGACAATGTGTGTAAACCCTAAATTACACGCTGGCGAAGTCGCGGGGAACAGCTAGTTATAAATATTTATATTTATTATATCAGCTTTATATCGACGTCGTAAAATAGTATAATAGTTAAGCAATTTTGTTTACATTGTTTCGACAAATTTCGGCGATCAGATTGAGATTTTTAATATTATAACACTCCCCCCCCCCCCTCCTACCCCCGTGTTTGTTCTGGAAAGAACCAGCAAGAACCCCAGCGGGATATTTTTAAACATTGATTTACAATGTAATATTTTATACAATTAAATATTAAAGTATTTAGAAACATGTACCCTTTAAGAGTATAATTATTATACCCTTATTAATTAACTAGCTGTTCCCCGCGACTTCGCTCGCGTGTTAGAGTTTTTATGTTTTTGCACTGATACCCTAATTCTTTTTCTGAAAGAAAAGTAGCCTAAATTACTCCTTATGAAATCAGCTATCTGCCAATGAAAGTCCCGTCAAAATCGGTCGAGCCGTTTCGGAGATTAGCCGGAACAAACAGACAGACAGACAAAAAATTTTAAAATTGTTCTTTAGTTATAAGTACCGTATTTACTTTCATATGCATTTAGTAAAAAACTGTAATTTTGACATTACAAACAGACACTTCAATTTTATTTATTTGTATAGATTAATGCTTAGTAAAAAATTTAAAACTTTTTGATAGATAGGTCACATTATCTGTGTGAATTTACGTCACACTTAATTTTATCAGGTCAATTCTGTAGAGAGCGAACGTGGTACTGACGATTCGTGGCCGATAATCTGTCAGCGACGATAAATTGGTGCCGTCACTGCCGTATCAGTCAATGAAATGTGACAGCAAAGCAAGCATAGGTCACTCAATACATCTCCGATCATGTGTCCGTTGCTATAATTCAAGAAGTGACCGTCATTTTGAACTTTTTAGTTAGTTGACCGATTGCTTTCAAATTTGATATCTGAGGGTCTATCGTCTTCGATCGTGTATTCGTTGTGAGAGTTCAAAAAGTGGCCGCCATTATGAAAACTCATGTTATTACACAAACAAATATCACAATTATAGAAATATGAGTGTTACTTTAATTCGAGCATCCTAGAAACCATCCTTCAACCACCCGAGTAGGCTGTGTTTCGAGGAGGCAGTAGCACCATAGGACTACAACCACACAGTAAGGCAAATTATATAGAAGATCAATAAGTATAATCCGCCTCTGTGTTTTACCTTTGTGGATTATGAGAAAGCCTTTGACTCCATCGAAATTTGGGCTGTCATAGATTCCTTGCAGCGTGGCCGGATTGACTGGCGATACATAGTTCGTCCAAGTAAAGGATGGTCTTACAAAATCTATTCAGTTGCATCGTGGAGTGAGACATAGTATCTCCACTATTCACAAATGCACTGGAAGATGTTTTTAAGACGCTAAACTGGAATGGACGCGCCATCAATATAAACGGCGAACACATCTCACACTTTTACGCTTTGCCGATTATATCGTCGTTATGGCAAAATATGGCAGAATTATAACGTGGTAGAGCCATACTGCAGCTATATTAGTAGTATAGTTGTAGCACGAATGGGACGGCTCGACCGGGGAAGGACCACGCTCTCACAAAATACCAGCATAAAATAGCAGCATAACGCTGCTGTGTTTCGCATGGTGAGTGTAGAGAACCGAAGACCCTTTTTTACTGGAAACGAGGCATTCCATCTTAGTCCTCACGGGTGACAATTACGCGATATCCTCGATTACAACACAATGCAGATAGATGCATTTTTGATGCGTAATCGAGGATAGATGTAAGATGTCTATGGGCCACAGCAACCACTTACCATCAGGTGTACTGTGTGCTCGTTTGTCACCCTTATTCTATAAAAAAAAAATCGCTGCAGGAACTACAATACACGCCGAGCAGCCTAAATGAATCCTCCCAACGTGCCGGACTGCGTGTGAATTTAAATAGGACGAAAGTCATGTTTAACGATCACGTCATACCAGATTCGATTATCGCTGATCGCGAGATTCTTGTAGTTGTCCAAAAGCACATCTATTTCGGCTAGATTGTGTAGTTAGATAGAAATAATTTTGAGAAAGAAACCGATAGGTGAATTCGGTTGGGCTGGGCACCATTCGGGAAGCTTTGTCAGGTCTTCTCGTCGCTCATAGCGCAAAGCTTGAAGGCAAAAGTCTTCGACCAGTGCATCCTGCCTGTTACGGACGGCGAGGGGAGCCGCCGTCCCGTCGCCCCTTCATACGCCGTTGCACCCCGCACACCGCCCGAATATCACGTGATGCCACCGACCAATCAGCGCGCGGCACACCTCGTAATACCACTCACGCGCCGAGACACTTTTTGC